AGTGCCAGTGCGGTGAATGGGTGGCCTAGCCTGCACTCTTGCCTATAGCCAGAGCAGCATTTTTCACATGGTATGTATATCTTACAACGAGCTTCTCTTTTTTTGCTTCCTTTTGGTTTGTTAGTTATACAAGTAGAAACAGTTTGATAAGCATGCCCCAGTCAATGACATCACAAGGAGGCAGGGTCACCCGGAAATGTCACAGAGTGGCCCCTGCGCTTTAGTTATTTAAGAAATGTTGTGCAGCGGAGCTGTCAGATGGCAGGAGCCTTTATTCTTTTTTCAGGTCGGCAATGGCAGCAGGCAATGTGATTGACAATGGATCTACACCAGGGTACGTATCTTTTATTTATTTATTTTTTTATTAAAGAACTTGTCAAAAATTGTCTCCTGTGTTTTTTCACACTATGCTTTATTTGGTGAATGAGTAGGAGTACAACGTACCCCATACTCATTCACATAGAGGTTGGGACTTGGGGGCCATCTTGTTAAAAGGGGCTTCCAGATTCTGATAAGCCCTGCACATAGATGCCATCAGCTATCAGCCAGAGTTATGGGGAAGAGGCCCTTGTCCCCATCAACATGGGGACAAGGTACTTTTGGGGGGGCAGAGCCCTCCCTGCTCCAAAGCACCCTCCCATGTGGCCTTGCATGGTTCGAAGGGGGCATTCACTCGTCTCCCCCTTTCCTGACCTGCCAGGCTGTATGCTCAGATAAGGGAATGGTATGGGCTTTGGAAGGGACCCCACACCATTTTTTAAATTTTGACGTGAGGTTCCCCTCAAAATCCATACCAAATTCAAAGGGCTTGGTATGGATTTTTAAAATTTTTACTGACAGCTGATGACTCATTACATTACGCATGTTTTCACTACCAAAATATCACATGACTAACTAATTTGGTATTTTAGCAGCGTTTTTTAGTGAATGCCAACATTTTTTTTTTTTTTAATTGATGTGTGGTATCTTGCCGCATACTTGGATGCAGTAAGATACTGCTTTGCAAATTGTCCCCATAGTGATGGAGAAGGAAAATGCAAACATTAAAATCAACTTATAAGTGTAGAAATTCACTAAGAAAAAGTTTGTTTTAATTAAATTATTTGCAAAACAGAGTTTTGTCAATGATTAACATATGTAAATTGTGTCAGTAAAATATTTCTGCATTTGGTACAGACCAAAGTCTGGGATGGAACACTGCTTTCCTTTTTTACCTAAAAGTGCAAGTTTGAAGCTGGTGAATATAAAGCAAAAGAAGACCATTGTTGTTTTTTTTAAAATGTGAACATTTGAGACCAACAGATACAGACAAATACTATAATTCTTCACAACATCATTGATCTTTTAAACAAAAAGTCCCAAAAGTTTATCTAAATGCAAAAGAATAGTGTAATTTATTGCATCTTACCAGTCCTTTGATATGGTGGCTGCTTTTTTTCTATTTTCAGGCCAAGTACATTTTTTTTGCAAGCACAAAATATACCTGTTGATCCTAATAAAAATCCAGTGTCCTTGTGTAGGGATCTGCTGCCCTCTACTGTCTGAATTTGTAATTGACTGTAAATATATTATGCATGCACTTCCTGTCCCTGGGTTGTTGGCCTTGATACCCCAGAAGGGGGAAGAGATAAAGTCTCAGCCTCATATCTTGTCCATGCTGCTAAACCCCAAGCCAGAAGGGACTAGTATGCAAGTATTCCTATGGTCTAATAGTTTAACTGCAGCTGCTGAATGTAAATCTTGTTCTTGTGACTGACATGAGTATCTCTGCCAAGTCTTTGTTTTTATTTCACATGCACAGTGCCAAATAGCTAGATTTGTGCTACTGTATGTAGAGGTCACCTTCCAGTATATTTCTAGGTGAACCTACACTGCTCAAAAAAATTAAAGGACCATTTTTTAATCAGAGTATAGCACCAAGTCAATTAAACTTCTGGGATATTGATCTAGTCAGTTAAGTAGCAGAGGGGGTGTTAATCAGTTTCAGCTGCTTTGGTGTTAATGAAATTAACAACTGGTGCACTAGATAGGCAACAATGAGACAACCCCTGAAACCAGAATGGTTTTACAGGTGGAGACCACTGACATTTTTTTCCCTACTTATCTTTTCTGACTGTTTTTCACTAGTTTTGCATTTGGCTAAGGTCAGTATCACTACTGGTATCATGAGGCGATACCTGGACCCTACAGAGGTTGCAAAGGCAGTCCAACTCCTCCAGGAGGCACATCAATACATGCCATTGCCAGAAGGTTTGCTGTGTCTCCCAGCACAGTCTCAAGAGCATGGAGGAGATTCCAGGAGACAGGCAGTTACTCTAGGAGAGCTGTACAGGGCCGTAGAAGGTCCTTAACCGATCAGCAGGACCAGTATCTGTTCCTTTGTTCCAGGAGGAACAGGATGAGCACTGCCAGAGTCCTACAAATGACCTCCAGCAGGCCACTGGTGTGAATGTCTCTGACAATCAGAAATAGACTTCGTGAGGGTGATCTGAGGTCCTGACTTCCTCTAGTGGGTGCTGTACTCATTGCCTGGCCCCATAGAGCTTGATTGACATTTCCCATTGAACACCAGAATTGGCAGGTCCGCTACTGGTGCCCTGTGCTTTTCACAGATGAGAACAGGGTCACCCTGAGCACATGTGACAGACGTGAAGGGGTCTGGAGAAGCCATGGAGATTGTTATGCTGCCTGTAACATCATTCAGCATGAACGTTTTGGTGGTGGGTCAGTGATGGTCTGGAGAGGCATATCCATGGAGGGACGCACAGACCTCTACTGCCATTAGGTATCAGGATGAAATCCTCAGAACCATTGTCAACATTTATCTGGAGGTATCTCTATTTTTAAGTATATGTACCCAGGTATATGTGCACAATTCCATCAGGACTCCTATTGGGAACACCTGTTTGTACATTAGAGGTATGTACGGTTATTAATCTATTATTATATAAAAAAATTATTATTTCCTTACTGGTGCAAATCTATTTGCTTATGATTAATGGGCAGCACAGTGGCTAAATGGTTAGCACTCCCACCTGGCAGTACTAAGGTTGCTGGTTTAAAGCCCGACCATGGCACCACCTGGCTGGAGTTTGCATGTTTCTCCCTGTGCCTGTGTGGGTTTCCTCTGGGTACTCCGGTTTCCTCCCACTCTCCAAAGACATGCTGGTAGGTTAATTGGCTCCTGTTTAAATTGGCCCTAATATGTGTATGTATGTGAGTTAGGGACCTTAGATTGTATGCTCCTTGAGGGTTAGGGACTGATGTGAATGTACAATATATATGTAAAGTGCTACGTAAATTGACAGCGCTATATAAGTACGTGAAATAAATAAATAAATAGTTCTCCTGCTCCCAATTACTTTGATTAGACAACTGGTAAGTTTCCAGAAAGGGGATCCCCTCTGTTCACAGAGGCCCTGTCTTGGGTTGAGGCACTGCCGACTTTATTATCAAAACCCACTTTTCCACTTAGTAAAGATTCTGGTTCTCTTATTTACCTAGAAGTTTAGTGCAATATCCTGCTTGGGGAGGGTTATTTCTTGTAACCCCCCCATCCTAAAAGAAGTCTACACTTTTTACTTTCTGTGTACCAAACTGAAAGGGAGAGGTGGTTGGAGTATTCCAGCCATTTTTTTCACATTTACTTGCTAATGCCCTGCAGGCTTTTAGGTAGCTGGGATTCCCAATGCCATTGGTGTAATAACTCATGTGACTTTTTTTTGCCCACATCTACTGTAGTAGGAGGGGGGTACCACTCGCTCAACATCCAGGTTGTTTGTGATGCAAATATGTTATTCAGAAATGTGGTCACTGGATCCAAGGATTTGTCCATGATGCACACATGCTAGGACAATCACAGCTCTACCGCCATTTTGATATAACAGAAATAACTGGAGGCTGACGTCTTGGTAGGACACTTTTTGTTATAAAATATGTCTTAATGTATGTCCACATACATCATGGATGGAAGAAAATGTTTATATGCTACACTCCTCTGCTCACTCCTCACACCTTGCAGACAAAATATACACATCAGGTTGTTTACCTTGGCTCATCTAGTCATTGCTAGTGATGGCTGTTTAACAAAAAACTAAACCAGATTCTGATCCTGGTCTAACCATTTCCACCTAAGCCAGTTTTACATATGGCCTAAGGCCTTCACATTACAATTTTGTTTTGCCATTAAATACAAAATGTATGGAAGAAATCTTGCTGTTATAACCCACTCATCATTATATAATGTTGTTGTTCAATAAATGGCATTTTCAGACTGTATTTTAGGTGATTCTGGCTATCCATGTCTACCCTGGCTGCTAACACCACTTTTGAGGTGCTCAACAACACCTGCAGAATCTCACTACAATGTTGCTACTATTAAGACAAGATGTGTCATTGAGCCAAGAAAAAGTTGGTGACGTGTTTTTGGCCTGCTGCATCCTTCATAACTTAAGGTTATTGAGGTTCAAGATACTGAGGAGGACTCTATTCTATCAATCCCTGAATCCTATCACAATGAGGGTGGCCATGAAGTCAGACAATGCTTCATGCAAAGCTATCTTTCAAGGTATGCATCAACTCTTACTTTGTAAATCTTACCATGTTGTTTCTGGAGAAAAGGCTGTGGTTGTTGGAAAGGAACATGGGAAGTGGCCCCATTTCAAGCTCACTTCAACATAAGCAGATCATTTCAGCAGCTTCTGTTGAAGCTCTGAACCCTTGGTTGAACATATGGAACATGCAGTGGCAATACTTTCACCTTAGATTGTACGCCCCTTGAGGGTTAGGGACTGATGTGAATGTACAATATATACAGTATGTAAAGTGCTGTGTAAATTAACGGCGCTATATAAGTACCTGAAATAAATAAATAATTTTACACAAAGATCTTTGGAGATACACTATATTGCCAAAAGTATTGGAAAACAACTCCAAATCATTGGATTCAGGTATTCCAATCACCTCCATGGGCACAAATGTATAAAATCAAGCACCTAGGCATGCAGACTGCTTCTACAAACATCTGTGAAAGAATGGGTCACTCTCAAGAGCTTAGTGAATTCAAGCGTGGTACCGTGATAGGTTGTCACCTGTGCAAAAAGTCTATCCATGAAATTTCCTTGCCACTAAATATTCCACAGTCAACTTTTAGCAGTATTATAACAAAGAGGAAGCAACTGGGAACAACAGCAACTCAGCCATGAAGTGGTAGGCCACATAAAATGACAGAGCAGGGTCAGCACATGCTGAAGCACACAGTGCGCAAAAGTCACCAACTGTCTACAGAGTCAATAGTTAAAGATTTCCAAACTTTGTGTGTCCTTTGGATTAGCACAACAAGAGTGTATACAGAGCTTAATGGGATAGGTTTCCATGGGCGAGCAGCAACATCCTGCCTGACGCCTGCCTTTATACACACATGAATTTTAATGGAATCCCAGTCTTAGTCCCTAGGGTTCAATATTGAGTTGACCCACCCTTTGCAGCTATAACAGCTTCAAGTCTTCTAGAAAGGCTGTCCACAAGGTTTAGCAGTGTGTCTATGGGAATGTTTGACCATTCTTCCAGAAGTGCATTTGTGAGGCACTAATGTCAGATGAGAAGGTCTGGCTCGCAGTCTCTGCTCTAATTAATTCCAAAAGTGATCTGTTGGGTTGAGGTCAGGACTCTGTGCAGGCCAGTCAAGTTCCTCCACCCCAAACTCGCTCATCCATATCTTTATGGACCTTGCTTTGTGCACTGGTGCACAGTCATGTTGAAACAGGAAGGGGCCACCCCCAAACTGTTCACACAAAGTTGGGAGCATGAAATTGTCTAAAATGTCTTGGTATGCTGACGCCTTAAGAGTTCCCTTCACTGGACCTAAGGGGCCAAGTCCAACCCCTGAAAAACAACCCCACGCCATAATCCCCCCTCCATCAAACATTACACTTGGCACAATGCAGTCAGGCAAGTACCGTTCACCTGGCAACCACCAAACCCAGACACGTCCTTCTGATTGCCAGACAGAGAAGCGTGATTTTTCACTCCAGAGAACACGTCTCCCCTGCTCTAGAGTCCAGTGGCGGCGTGCTTTACACCACTGCACCCAATGCTTTGTATTACACTTGGTGATGTAAGGCATGGATGCAGCTGCTCAACCATGGAAACCCTAATACTAATAACAGTTGACTGTTGAATATTTATTAGCAAGGAAATTTCATGAATGCAATTGTTGCACAGGTGGCAACCTATCATGGTACCATGTTTGAATTCACTGAGCTCCTGAGAGTGACCCATCCTTTCACAAATGTTTGTAGAAGCAGTCTGCATTCCTAGGTACTTGGTTTTAAACACCTGTGGCCATGGAGGTGATTGAAACACCTTTATCCAATGATTTGAAGGGGTGTCTCAATACTTTTGTCAAAATGTACGCCATGCACAAGTATTCTTCTATGTTTGCTTGCAAAACCTTTGTTAAAATAAATAAATAAAAACATAAAACTACAATGTTCTCCAGCAATATTATTAATTCTCCAGACAACCATTGTTGTACCATTGTTGTACCATCCACTGTATTTACAAGTCTTGAGGTATATGCCAAAGGCACTTAGGTGTTCCATCCCACTTTGATACACACCCCTAAACATCTCTTCATTTTAATGATGAGGAGATGTTTGGGCTCAAAGAACTAGGCTCAATGTTGTCTAGAATGTCAATGGTGGGGATGTACTAAAACTGGAGCACATACAATCTGGTGCAGCTGTGCCTAGTAACCAATCAGCTAATAAGGTGTTATTTTCAAAGTTTCATAGAACAAGCTAAATTTAGAAGCTGATTGGTTAGTAGGAACAACTGCACCTGATTCTCTGGGCTCCAGTTTCAGTAAATAGCATCCAATATATATTCTCCATCATGAAAAAGCACACATGTGCTAAGATATAGCAATGACTTTGCCAAATAGAATAGCCAAAATGACTTGAAAGTGTAACTAAGGGTTTAACCCCTGTCAGTTTTTGCCATCTGTATTCCATTGGTGAGATTCACCCTCTATTATTGTTTGGGTGACAAGACAAAATATGGGTTTTTCTTTCACTGATAATGAGAAACAGTAGAAATAGAGAGAGTGAAACACAGAGCTGCCCTTAATTTCTACTTTAAATTATTATTATTATTATACAGTATTTATATAGCGCCAACAGTTTGCTCAGCGCTGTACATTACAAAGGGGAACAATACAAGAGATTGTACAATAACAATACAGTGCGAAACATGAGGGGTTCGAGGGCCCTGCTCCTTGGAGCTTACAATCTAGGAGGGAGGGGAGAGTGATACACGAGGAAAAGCTGTAGGGGATCGAGTGGTAGGAAGAGTGGAGGAGATCGGCAGTTAGCAGAGAGGATGGGGTAGGCTTCCCTGAAGATGTGGGTTTTTAGGGTGCGCCTAAAGGAGAGGAGAGTGGGTGATAGTCTGATACATTGGGGTAGGGAGTTCCAGAGGATGGGTGATGTCCTGGAGGTGGACATGGGAGGAGGAGATCAGGGAACTAGAGAGAAGGAGGTCTTGTGATGAGCGGAGAGTGCGTTTTGGGTGGTATTTGGACATTAGGTCGGTGATGTAGCTTGGAGCAGAATTATGGACAGCTTTTCACGTCAGTGTTAGCAGTTTGAATTTGATCCGTTGGGCAATCGGAAGCCAGTGGAGGAATTGGCAGAGGGGGGTGGCGGAAATGGAGCGGTTGGTAAGGTGGATGAGTCTGGCCGCCGTATTCAGGATCGACTGGAGTGGGGATAGCCTGTGGTGAGGCAGGCCAGTAAGGAGGGAGTTGCAGTAATTGAGTCGTCATATGATGAGGGAGTGGATGAGCTGCTTAGTAGTTTCAGGGGTTAGGAATGGGCGTATTTTGGCGATGTTGTGGAGGTGGAGTCTGCATGAGTTTGTTAGCGATTGGACTTGAGGCTGGAAGGATAGATTGGAGTCTAGGATGACACCTAGTACTCCGGCTTGCGGGGTGGGCTTGATGGTGGCATGGTTGGACGTGATGGAGAAGTCAGTGGGGGGGGGGGGCTGGGGGGGAATACTAGGAACTTGGAGATGCTTAGTTTAAGGAAGTGGAGCGACATCCACTCTGATATGTCGTTCAGTAGGCTGGTGATTTGGGCGGAGACAGAAGGGGTGAGGCGAGGGGTCGAGAGATAGATTTGCGTGTCGTCGGCATAGAGGTGGTAGTTGAAGCCATGAGAGTGTATCAGTTGGCCAAGGGAGGAGGTGTAGATGGAGAAGAGAAGGGGACCGATGACAGAGCCTTGAGGGACCCCAACAGAGAGGGGGAGTAGGGGGGAGGTGTTAATGTTATAGGCAATGCTGAAGGAGCGTTGTGATAGGTAGGATGAGAGCCAGGATAGAGCGGAGTCTCTGAGGCCAAGGGAGTGTAGTTTCTTGAGGAGGAGGGGGTGGTCGACTGTGTGGAACGCAGCAGAGAGGTCGAGGAGTAGGAGCACTTAATAGTGGCCATTGGCTTTGGCGGTTAGCAGATCATTTGTGAGTTTGAGTAAGGCAGTTTCGGTGAAGTGTAGGGGACGGAAGCCGGACTGTAGGGGGTCGAGGAGGTTGTTGTCGTTGAGGTGGGAGCTTAGGCGAGTATAGACTATGCGCTCAAGGAGTTTGGATGTAAATGGCAGCAGGGAGATGGGTCTAAGGTTGTTCGTGTCGGTGGGGTCCAGGGAGGGCTTTTTAAGTATAGGAGTGATGTGTGTGTGCTTCAGAGGGGAGGGGAATGCGCCAGAAGAGAGGGAGAGATTAAAGATGTGAGTGAGGGAGTGTAGGATGGAGAAGGAGGGAGATTGTAGGAGTTGTGAGGGGACAGGGTCGAGGGGGCAGGTGGTGAGGCGGGCTTCAGAGAAGACCTTAGTGACCTCCTCAGTGGTGGTGAGGTCGAAGGAGTGGAGTGTTGAGGGGGCTTCTGTGTAATGGATGTAAGATGGGGTTAGATGGATGTTAGATAGGGTGGAGGTCTGAACAGTGGTGAGGCCCAGGGGGAGGGGTGTTGAGGGGGTTGCTGTGTGAGAGGAGGTAGGTGGGGTGGAGGTCTGAGCAGCAGCGATGTCCCTGCGAATAGTGTCAATCTTGTTTTTGAAGTGATTGGCAATCTCGAGGGCGGTGAGTGAAGTACTGGGTGTAAATGATCTCTAACAACTCATGATGTTCTGTTTGAGTTTGGTGGAACCTCTCTCTCTGCTGCTAGTCAAAACACAAGTTGTTCTTGGTCAATATTTCAAGTGCGACATATAGTATGCCCATGTTGTATGTCAAATGGTGGAATGGGAAAACCCAAATGGGTGTTAATATCTGCTGAACTTTGTGTTAAATTGTTATCTTTTGTTAAGGAACTTGGGAATGCTGGCAGAATGATGACTACAGTACCTCAACACTGACATTAGACTGCTGTTCTGCAGACGGGCTGAAGTTATTTTCATTCTTGTCAGATGCAGCGAAGCCTAGTTAAGGTCTTTGGCTCAGAATAGAGTAGGAGGATGCCTTCCTCTGTGGGGTCATCTGCAAACTGACCCAAGTCCAGGATAAATCTAGCTTTGGGAAAAGATGCTTCATGGTCACCTCTAAGGAAAGTTTGTCAAAACAGCATTGTATTCTGAAGGACGGGGGAGTTTCTCCGAACAGCATACAATAGGGCTGCAAGGGAGAACCCAGCATCATCATTGAACATGAATAGTTAACATATAGATTATTTGCTAACACAATCTACTTACTGTACCTCTCTTGTTGAGTAAGGTAGTGAAACCTTTGCGCAGTCCTGTAACAGTCTCTTCATGGATGAAGGGTATCAGCTTTTCTTCATAGCCCAACATATGAACGGAAGTTTGTAATCTGCCACCAGTTTTTTTTTGCCTAGAAGAAATGAGATAAGCAAGCAAGTTAGACATCCAAGATGTACATTAGAAAAGGTGAAGTGACATTAACTTGAGAGAAATTTTAGACATTTGTAGTCATGCTTTTTAATGTCAGTACACACAATCAGACTAACATTTCCTTCCTGTTGAAGGCCATGTTCTTCTTGATGTTGATATCATGGTACCTCTTTAACACTATGGGGTGCTACTCCCACTGAATTGACAGCTCTTGTAATTTTTTTCCACTGTTTTCTTTTCCAAGATTGATTGTTTCCATGTACACATAGGCTTTTAGCAGAGTTTGGGAGCTGCCGTGTTTAGGTGAGGTTAAACTTCCCTCTCCTGAACGCGGAAAAATCACATTCAGGATAGGAACGTTTTGACCGCCGACTGCGGGAAAACACGGCAAAATGGTTGCCGAGTTTTGTCGCAATTTTCGTTTTTCCAGAGCTGAGGGTAGGCTCGTGTACATGGAGCCTAAATGAAGTTTGGTTTGTGCTTATTTAGTTTTC